ACCAGCCTGCTTACAACAGGTAAAATTTACAAGACGACTATCCTTCTTATACAGTGCTTTAAAGAGAACCTTCTTAAATTTCCCAAATGAACCTCCCCGATGCAGTTAAGATGGGATGGTAAAATTGCTCAAGTATACCCCCAGGTCTTCACAGACAGGACTGAGTTAAAGTAATGAGGACTGCAATTTCCACCCTCCAGTTCAAACATATCCTAAACACTATCGAAGCTTGGCTATTTGGCCTTGCGGTACCTTTTGTAAATTATTGCTTTTGAAAAGAATCGAACACAATGAAATTAATGCATTTGCACGACACTCCCCCACCTGCCCCTTCTCCCATGGAAAACAGTTCAGTGCCTTTCTGTTTGATGCATAGCCTTGGAAATTTCAAGTGTAACATAAAGGTCTTTTAATGGATGAACTTCCAGTGGGGACTGCATTGCAGGTGTGTGGGATTCGAGATCAAGGAAGCAAAACAGGCCCAAACAAAATCCATCAACTGTGCGTTAGCATGAAGAAACAATAACAAAAAGATATTCCAGCCGTTTATAATGATTTCTGGAACCACAGTTCAACCAATGTCCCACCAACCAGTTTCTGGAAGAGTACTCTGTAGCAACACCTGGTCAGTTCTGTAGATGGCAAGAACTTCCTGAAGACATGATTGAAAGACATGGGCCTCAATCCAGCACAATGTTACGCTCACCTAAGCCTCCTCATTTCAATTGTGTTTGACAGTGATCAGAATAGAATTCTAAAAACAGATAGGATCAAAGACCTTGGTGGAATTATCATTACCTGGACAGAATTATCGTTATCTGGAATAGAATGTGGACCTCTGTTGGGTGTATCAATTCACCCTTCCCTGTATGTATAAAACTAGCATGTCAAGGAAAAAGGCTTGGGTAGAATGCTTTTTCTGCATGAAGGAAATTATTTATTATTTTGGTACAGAGGAATCCCCATCTGCAGTCTGAAACCAAGATACAGTTTTACTACCTTGATGAGAAGCAGGCCTCAAAGAAAAATGCAGAAAAGTGAATCGACGAAGGGTGATAATTTAGGCATAATTATTTTTTTAGGTCAGTAGACCCATCCTCTCCCTTAGGGCAGTGGGACAACTGTTTGGGTATTAGGACTTTGGGGGACATTACTGATGATAAAACTATAGGGGGGGGGAGGTTCATCAAAAGAAGGGGTAGAACATAGGCAAGATCTGGCAAGAAGAGGGCAACGTAGGGTATGCAGGAAGAAAGGTGGCTCCTACCAAGAGCTCCTTTATGTTTAGGTGGCCTAGCTTAAGCAGCATTTGGGGCTGATCAGTGGAAGACAAATAGAAGACATACGAAACAGCAATGGTCAGCCACTTTCTCACACATATGGATCCCCAAGTTTCCAATTATTTCCCTGGGTGCCGTCACTGATATGTCTTTCTAATAACAATAAAAATAAAACAAGCCCGAGGAAGCACAAGTGATTCTCTCTGTAAACGGAAGCCTGCAAGAATTATGCTGTAATTACTCGGTGGGGGACAAAAACTGGAACTCGCTGGTTCTGTTGAACCATGGTCCAGGAGTTAAACATGTGCAATTATATCTGGAACTGCATGAAGCAAAGCTGATGAATAATGCGAACCTGTGAAGAAGCTGTGTGACAGATGGTGACTGGTGTTTAGAGGAATCACAATACCTTATTACCCATCTCTGTCCCTTTCTAAAAGAAAAGAGGCATAATAAGAGTTTGCCCTTCCGTTAGGCTAACCCACAAACCATCTAGTATCTCCACAGAGTCCGCTTCATTGACAGATGTAACGCTACGTTAACCTACTTCACCTCATTTGGAAGAACCATTTAGAATTTTGGAAGGTAAACGCGTTCTTCATTTCCTTTACAACTGGCAGCTACAAAATTCAAGTATCACTGCTTTGTGTTCCCTCTGCAGAAAACCCTGTGAGGGGGGCACGAGAGGGGGTGCTGAGGGATGGAGGAAGCGAACCGATCACAGACATGCTATAACCAGATTCCTATCGTATTCACAAAGGGGTGTGTGAGGAAAGAGAAAATACGTCACTGAGTTGAGCAGGAGATATGGATGGGCCAGTACTTCCTGAAATATTCATACAAGCCGTATACTCCCTGCACTCAAAAACTCATTTTTAATGCGTCTCTGAATTTTAACCTAAATACTTGCCAGGGAAGTACTGAAAGTATCCACACAAATTTTTGTAACCAAATTCTCAGAGCAGGGGGTGGGGACAGGGGCAGTAAACTATAAATAACCAATGAATTATGCAGGTTTCTGACTCCATTTACTATTAAAAGTGTTACCTGGTCATTGCTGGATTTATTTATTTTTTGCTTTATTGAGTTGGCAAATGATGAACCAGTTAGGGGCGTGCATTTTTTGAGTTTGGGTATACTGAACCCAAAAACATTGTTATTTTCTGATATTCCTGAATCCCAATACTGGCATGGTATTCGGATTTGGGATTTATCAGAAATCCAGCAATTTTTTTGGCTCCATTATACCCATATGTAGGTCCCTTTAAATGACTTTTGTGAGCCGCAATGTGACCTGAGTAAACCCTGAAGGTGTTTAAAGGGCTTGCAATCTCTTTAAACACCTTCTCCAAGCCATGAGATCACTTGGAAGGTGTTTAAAGGGACTGCAATCCCTTTAAACACCCTTTAACTTCAGCTCTCTGGCGGTCCTGAAAAATCCCAAATATTTTTGGGATATTTGGGACTTGGCTATTTCAGATAGCTGGAAAAATACTGAGATCTATATCCAGCTGAAAAAACAGCTCGGCTACACCGAATGCACACCCCTACAACCAATATCTTCTTCCACAGAAATAAATAGGTCATTAATCAGCTTAACAAAACCAGAAATGGTTGGAAGTCAAGGAAATCTCTCCCTCGAGGGATGGCATGTGCTGGAAACATTCATTTACTGTTGTGTTGACGTGGAACCACAATAAGGCAAGGGCATGAGAAATCTGGTAGGTCGTCTTTTCAACCATCAGTACTCTCCAAGAGTAATAATTTATGTATTCCATACACTTTCTGGCTGGCTAAATGCTCCCCATAAAGGATCTCTCTCGGTAAATAAGCCCTCTGCATTACTGAATGCAAACCCCTCGCTTATAGGTAGTTTCAGAGGGTAGATGTGTTGGTCTACAGCAGAAGAGCTGGGTTCGAGTCCAGTAGTCCAGTAAGAGACCAACAAAATTTTTAGTGTATAAGCTGTTGAAACAAAGCTCCCTTCATCTGTTGAAGGGACCTTTGGCTCTCTCGAGAGCGTGTAGCTCCAAAATCTGGTTGAACTCCAAGGTGCTACTGGACTTTAGCTCTTCTCATGCTTATAAGTAGAATAAGAATACTGTAACAGTACTGTAAAGCAAAGTGTGTGTATATGTATATAAGTACACACCCACCCACCCAAAGATTTCCTGTTGTGTTTAAAGGGCACATGCCTCTTAATTCAAAACATTGCTGAAGCCAAAGATTCTGTATCTCTCCCCCACCCCACCCCACTCCAGGGCCCAATTAAACACTTTTACACATACAAACTCACGGTCTCTGCAGAAGGTGCAAAGGAGGGTAAGGTTCCTGCAGCCTTCAACAACTCTGGAGGAAGAGGGGATTTTGGCAGATTCAGCTTTCCACACCTTCATGAGACTTTTTTTTGCCAAAATTCCCTCTTCTGCCCAGGTATAGGGGTTGCTCTGTTTCCCAATAATGGGCTTTTCCCTGCTTGTTATTTCCTTGCTTTTGTGCCTGTATTGGCTTTCCCCGCCATTTCTGCATGTGTTTTGCTCCCTCTTGTGGTCACTTTGGTATTTCAGCACTGTATCTCTGGCTTATTTACGAGCACAATTAGAGTGCTCGGAAAAAAGCCGGAGATACAGTGATGAAATATCAAAGTGACCACTAGAGGGAGCAGAATACATGCAGAAAGCGGGGGGGAACCCTGACACTCTACGTGTAAGCAAGCAATGAAAATAAGATGTTTGGAAAAGCCCAATGTCTGCTTGATTATAGGAGCTGAAAGAAATACATTCACCATTTCCCCCCCTCATTTCATCAGTGCAGGGCATTGGGTAGTATTAAAGGGCTGCCTGGCAGCAGGTCTACATTGCCCCATCGGCCCCTCACCTTTTGATCAGCACAGCACTGGTGGTTGGTTGGGTAGTGGGGGTCTGTGCTAACTCAACATGACCCAACCTATCCAAGTGAGAGACCAAGGCAATTGTCCCATTGCAGTTTCTTTGCCACTGAGAGAATGTAGGGAATTTGGACACGGACTTTTACTCCCACTTAATAAGGTCCCCATGTACCTCTCCACCCTGTCATATTTTGGAGCCAGAGGTGCAGTCAAAGCCTTTGAATATACAATTGGACAGACTCATTATTATTTGTATGTTATCTCTAGAACATTACAGAAAGGAATGTGCCTATGGACTAGTAACTTTGACATTGGAAGGGATTTTTTTAAAAAGAGAATGACTCAGCTTTGCCAACTGGGTTTCCTTTCATTCATTAGAAAGATGAAGTTTAGAATACGCAACAATGCCTGGGTAGGGATTGTTGTTATCTTAATACTGTAAGTGCTCTATCCTTATAACACTTTTAATAGTACAACACTAGACAAAACTAGGAGAATGAAGGCTTGGTCCAATGCTGAACATTATCCTCCTGGTGAACCTCACACCTGCAAAAACAGGATGATGACCGCTCCAAGGACTCGGATTCTGATTCTAGGGAACCATTCTCTGGGAAGACCTTTCGCCTCTTTGTATGCACACATACAGTACTGATTTCTTGACAGGGTTAAAAATGGGTTATGTTATATTTCTGCCTGGCCCAATATATATAAATATGTAGATGTATTGAGAGACATCTATTTTCTTAGCAAAAAAAAATAAAATCGTTTGCAACAGTTATGCTATGAATGCGACCAAACAACAGTTAACAACAACGTCAACAAAACCAGTCCCTTCACACTTGAGTCTGTTGATGGGTCTCCACAAAGGGAAGGTGCATGTGATGGTGATCCAGACAGAGCTCTTCGATGCTTTCATAGTCGCTCATGGCGACCTCTGAGTCATCAAAGCCGCAGCCCGCTGAAACGTCAGACGACGATGCATCCAGGGAATTGTGTAAGGACAAGGGCTTCTTTGTTGCACTAACACTTTCCATATTTGGTCCCGGGCCAATGCCAAAAGTACTAAATTCATTCCCAGTCTGAGACCCACCACTGTCCATCTCATTGGGGAACTGATGTGGGGGGAGGTACTGGCTCGGGTGGAACTGCGGCCTTCGCCGACAATCTGGGCTAAGTGTGCTGGCCATGGAGATCGGCTGCGAGGGGGGAAGCGCTTCGTACTGGTCCGGGTAGTCCTCTGGGAGAGGAGGCGGCAACTGGTCCTGGTTTAAAAACTCCTCCTCGTGCGGTGGTGGGTAGTCACTGTCAATATCGTAGCCACCAAGGTAATAATCTGTTTCCAGTTCTCTCGTGCTCCCGTGATGCACCGAGCCACCATCTGCTGTCTCGTAATTGGGCACTTCCTCAATGTCAGATAAGCGAGCGCTCGGCATCCAGTCAGAGGTGTCCCAGTGATAAGCTACAGGAGGAAACAAACACACGATGGATCCGGAGGGGGAACAGAAATCTCAGCAAGAAATGAAATCTATGGCATGCACCTGCTAGGAAGCAAATCCCCGGGGGTGGGGGCTCAGCCAATTGCAGCTGCATATGCAAATAATTAACATGCACCACAGTGTTGTCGTCCCCCCAAAACCAAACACTGGCCAACCATGCTCTGGCCATAGTTGGTAGAAGCAGTCTTATGTAACAAGGACCATGATACGACACGACACGACACGACACAACTATTTCACGTTTGCAGATGCTGTTAGAAAGTAAAGAATCCAGGAAATTAAAAAAAAACCTTGGAGTAAGGTGGAAGGATGTGGAAATCCATCCATCAGTTAAATAAATAAACACATTAATAACCGCTAGCATGCTGTCACTGCCGTGCTCCGATCTGGATCTGGAGAGAAAAGTAATGACACAGGCACATCATGTGAGATATGAGAAAGAAACCGCTGATTCCTGAAATTAAAAAAATGAAGTCCCCCCCCCCCCAAAGGCAATCAAAATATGCACTGTAGCATGCTTAAACATGCAGAATTCGGGCACAGCCTGATCCCCAAAGTGGAGGCCAAAGAAAGCAGATTAGTAAAATGTTTAAAAACAAAAAAACCCCCGCAAGCTGCTTTCCCAAGACCACCCACTCCGTAGTAAAATGTTTAAAAACAAAAAAACCCCGCAAGCTGCTTTCCCAAGACCACCCTCTCCCACTCCACTGCAGCAGATGGAAAAGTCACCTCTGTTGTAGCTCTGTCCCTGATCCATACCAGTCACTGTTAAACACAAAGTGGAAAAGAGCAACACTGGAAATTCTCAAGTTTGAAACCAGTTACAGCTTTAAAACAGACAAACTGTAGACCAAGAGTCATGTGACAACTCAAAACCAAACGGGCTCATTGTGGCATAACCACTAAACCTTGGGCCACAATCATCTGGTTACTTGAAGATGTCTGCTGACTCTTTGTTCATTGGAATCGATTTTATTACAATCCTAGATCGGCCGACTCTTCGTTAATTTGGCTCCGGCAGAATAAGGGAGCAATCCTGCGCAGGACGACTTGGAAGTAAGTCCCAAGTTATCCAGTGGGGCATAGTCCCAGGAATGGATCCTTAGGGTTGTGATCTAACATGGCTGCCCTCCCGAAACGGCCGACATCTCTCACAATGCAGTATCTAGTTCTAAAACTAATCAGGGTCAAAGTATTAAGCAACACTCCGGTTTTAACATTAAAAGGACTGAGGGGAGCTACTTTTTCTAAGACAAATATAGACAAACATTGCATTACATCTATTGGCAGGAACACACACCTTTTCTCACTTCAGATATCTGAATCAAACATGCGGGCCTGATTCAAGCACGCGGCTTTTAACACAAACATCTTAGACATTTCTGTTTTAAACTGCAAAGTACGGTTCGCTTTCTCTCTCTCTCAGTTTTGAAACAGAAAAAAAAAATAAAAATCTACCATTCTCAGGGCCGGTTCAAACAAATCTGGGCCCAAGTACGCTCAGATACCACGGTGAGGGGCACAGTATAACAACCTGAACGGAACAGAATAGAAAGGCAGTCAATGGCGCCACCCGAAGCAAACACAACAGAGTCCATGTCTAAGTCAAAAGTATTGTGGGGGTTGGGCAGCTCAGCAATGTGCTCTGCAGTGAATAAACGCCTGTATATCATGGACTTTATTAGCATCATGTAGACAGCCTGTAGGGTATGCTCCCCTTTACATTTGGGATTACCCAAAGGTGCCCTTGGCAAATTGATCCTCGATAGAGGCGAGCATTTACGCTTGCAAGATTAAACTCTGTTCCTTCCTGAGTAATGGAAGGACCCCATACTCTGATAGACTTTCTGGATTGTTCTTCTGGACAGATAGGAACTTTGAAGCATCGCTTACTGAAATGTGGTATCTTCTGCAGTATAAGGGATTTGTGGATTACTCCTCGTTTCGGTGATAATGAGGGGTTGCTAACCTCGGATAAGGCTAAGAAACCCTTGGCAGGCGTGGATTTAGGAGTCACATTGGGGGCAGCCAAATTTTCTGCTCATGTAATTAAATCTGAAGGACCTCAAGCGCAGTGATGGGTTGGTTATTTAAATTACTTGCTTTTTTTGCTGCATCTGTTGTGATACGGCTCGAGGCCTGTGGGCTAAATGAGCAGCATCGTTAAAGTAAGTGTTATGGGGTTCCGTGTTGGGAAAAGAACAGGCTCCGTTTCTCTCGTGCCCGTGGAAATCGGCAGGGAGTCTCGTTAAGGCAGAGACCCAAGCGTAGGCTTGGAGCCAGCACAGTGTAACCAGGTGGGAAGATTTCTGCCCGTGGAATGTTACCTTCTCCACTTCTCTAACTGTGGCCTGAAATGCCACCCCAAAATGTTGCTCTGAGGAGTAGAGAGAACCACCAGGAGCAACATTTTTTTTTGGGGGGGGGGTAGTTTGAGCTACAGCGCGGGGAGGGAGGTGAGAAAGTCACACTCCACAGGCAGAAATCCTTCCATCCATGGAAATGCTATGCTGGATCCAAGCCCAAGGCGGACCGCTAATGTCTGCCCACGGAGCTGCTGCCGCTGCAAGACAGGCGCCACTTACAAAAGCCAGCAAACTGAGCGGGAGGAATGTCATTTGTAGAGCAGACCCAGAGGACTCCTTTAGTTTGTTTCTAGGGATAGATGGTCTGTATGTTTCCTAGACTGTGAGGACTAGGAACTTGCTTTTTTGTTTTTCATTTTTAACAGTAAAGACCGGTGGTGAGAAGCAACTGACAGTATCATTCGATTTTCCAATAAGGTTTCTTCTTTGCTATGCCTTCCAGAGAAATGTCTCTGGTAGCCTGCAAAAAGCTGAAGATGTACAAGGCTATGAAATGGTGCAAGCTGGTGTAGTAGCTAGCATCTTGTGGTCTGTTCGGGGTGGTGTGCTTTTGCACATCTGTCTTTTCAAGCGATTCACTAAGTAGGATTGAACCAAATTCTGCTTAAATCTGAGGTCAGACTTGGAACAGGTCTCGAACTGCCTCCAGAAAACACTCTGGGCCATACGGAAGATTAGATTAGCCTGAGTTTGTGTGGGGTGTGGATGGGATTTGGTACCTCCTTGCACCTTTCTGACCATGCATCCTTTGTATGATACCTTGCTTGGTGCAATTCCTTCAGTATGGCTGCACCATCCCACACCAGAAAAAACTCCTGGATGGTTCTAGGCTGCTAGCGGGACACTGAAACTTGCCACACTCAACAGATTCAAGGATCTTCTACGCCTAATCTCCACCCCCCTTTTGCCTTGTATAGGAGACCAGGGCTATTTTTGGGCAGGAACGCACAGGAACGGAGTTCCGGCTGGCTCCTGAGTTGGCCACGCCCAGCAGGAACTCATTAGCATAATAGGCCACACCCAATAGCAGAAACTCATTAGGATTGGCTACATTAGGGGTGTGTGGCCTAAAATGCAAAGGAGTTCCTGCTACAAAAAAAGCCCTGGGTTTTGACAACAAACAAGGTAAACAGAATAAGAAGGGAAAGGTGGGTGTGGCTGGATGACCACACTTCTGGTAACATGGGGGTGTGGCCTAATGTGCTAATGAGTGATGCTGTCAGGGTGTGGCCTAATATGCTAATGAGTTTTGCTGTTGGATGTGGCCTATTATGCTAATGAGTTCCTGCTGGGCTTTTTCTACAAAAAGAGCCCTGTAGGAGACCATAGATTGAGCTGCGTGTTTATGGAGGAATATCACACACCACTCTCCCTCAGCCACAGGTGTGCTCGTGGTAGTGACGGATGTTCAATGGAAACTAAACTCACAAACTATGAGCAGAAGGAAGATACTTTCTTACACTATCCAGTGGTTGCTGCTCAGGCAGCACCGTCTGAACCGGCCCTGACTATTCCAAAACGAAAGCAAAAAATGAAAACAAAAACAAACTGACTCAAATTATAAGGATCAGACACAAGGAATTTTTCTGGGTTTGCTAAATTTCATGCTCACACCCCACTCAGTGTGGTTATTATGATACTGCATGTGTGAATGCACAACTAAGAATTGTTATCTTTATATGATGCAGCAGAACCTCATCGACCTCACCTAGCCTGTCCACTCCACAAAATCAAAGTGAATTCCTTTCCTTGTTGGTTTCAAAGCAAAAATAATGCAAGCAAGGTTTATGTGATATCAAAATTCACAGCTATTCCCAAATATCTCTCAGAAACTTTCCTAGGACGGCTGAACTTACAAATGGTCAAGCTGAAGTTCATTTGGAGGGAGGAAGTCTAAAACAACCTTGTTTAATTTAATGCCTCCTAAATTGGATTTCCCCCACTTCAGAGGTATCAATAATGTACACTACAGGTAGGATACAGGAATGTGCCCTATTTTGCTTTTTTTGGGGGGGGGGGTCAACAGTTCTACTTCTTTCGTATACTTTGTTAGAAGTCTCATTTTTCTGTTCATCGCTGTTAAATTTTGTAGACAGAAGTGTGTATATGCATGTTAAATGAGATGGGCATGAACCGGGAATACGGAGGTTCGTCCTGGTTCGTGGGATCACATGAATCACGAACCTTTGCAAACCTACCCATTTAATGAACCGGCTCATTTCGTGAGGTTCCTGACGCGGTGGGGGTGGTCTTTCTTCCCTCCTTTTTGCTGGGGATGGCTCCCTGAGGCCAGCAGAATAGAAGGGGGGGGATCTTGCAAAAACCATTTAAAGAGAACATTCTCTTTAAATGGCTTTAACAAGCGCCACCGTGCACGAGTGAAGTCCAAGCGGCAAGTTCACTTGGAAGTCGTGAACTCGCCACTTGGACTTCACTCACGCATGGCGCCTGCTTGCAAAATCCATTTAAGGGGAATGCTTGGAAGGGGGAGCCGGGAGCGAAAGGGATTGCTGAAAAGGCTGGCATTTGGCTACCTCTCACTCCCCCCCCCCGCTTCCCACCACAAACCCCAAGAACCTCCAAAAACCACGTGGAGGGTCATGGATACAGGGCCGGCTCAGCTGTCCTGGTTCAGCTGCAAACACTACTGAGTTTTAAACATGTTATGATCTTTCTGATGATACAAACACCAATTCCACCAAAGAACTTAGCCCTCTGGGCACAGAAGGGTCACTCAGCTGAGTCAAAGAAGAATCTAAGTAGGGGGGCTATTACATAAGGACACTCAAGTTGCAACTGACTTATGGCAACCCCAGCAAGGAACTGTCAAGGCAAGTGAGAAGCAGAGGTTGTTTGTGACTGCGAGTGCCTTTCTTTGCAGAGTCTTCCTTGGTGGAAGCCAGATGTGCAAAGCAGGCAAAGTTACAAAAGCAAAAGTGAGTGTTAAGAGCATGAGTGCCGGGTGAATGGGAGATCCGGGGTACAGATCCAATTAAGGGGGCCAAGCCATGGTGGGCGCATGGGGGACACCAGAAGGGATCCTTGCCTAGGGTGCAAAATAAGCCGGGGGCGGCCCTGCATGGCCATGAAGCTTGGTTTGCATACCATGAAGCATCTGTGTTGATCACGAAATTAGGTTCGTGCCGTCCCTAGTTTCTACACACAAAGTATATAATTTATTAAGTATAAAATATGTGTACTAGATAATGCTGATTTACTGACACATGAATATCATTGAAAAAAACTGGGGTGGTCTCCAAGAACACCCTCATGGGAAACCCTCTAAATATTTGAAGCCTCCCCAATCCCCCCCAGAAAATTTTGGAAATTTGGGGGCTCCTTTTGGAATAGGACGAATGAAATGCTTTTTAAGACGTTTTACTGAAAATGTATAGTATGAAACAGTTTATGTAAGACAGTCCACAGCAACAGGGAACTCGAAAGGACGTGTGGCAGTCACTTCATTTCCCCCTGTATTCAATTCTTCACACTATTTCCTTTTCTTATCCTTCTTGCAGCCCCTATACACTTTCCGGCTTCTTTTTCTCAGTCTCACTCACCACACAACATTCCTTTTATCTGACCAAACGACTTCAGCTTTATTTATTTACTTCACTTATACTGCGCCTTTCTGTCCAATAAGGACCCAAAGCAGCTTACCTCATTCTTTTCTCTTCAATTTGATCTTCACAATTCTCTGTCCTGTGAGCTAGATTGGGCTGAGTGAGCATGTAACTGACCTGAAGCCATCCAGTGCGCTTCCGTGGCATAGAGGGGATTTGATGCTGGTTCTCCCGGATCCTATTCTGACACTCTAACCACTATACCACTCTGGCCAAGTTGTGCAGGTTGTTAAGACTGGAACAACTCTGCACAGGAAATGCCCTCTAAGCGGCCTTCCACTAGCCACCATCTCTCCACCTCATCCTGAGTCTGCATGTAGGGAGGTAATCCTGTTGGTCTACCTTACAGCAGGGCTGTTGTAAGAGTTACCGGCAATGCTCCCTCTAAGCTATGGAGTCTTGTGAGCAAAAATTCTACTTTGTGAGCCACTGGCATTAAAGTTGTGAGCAGGTGATTTGGCTGCTGCATAAATTGGTTTGCTCTGGAGCCCTCCTTCCTGAGCCGAGACAGAAATGTGTGAGCTGGAGGCTAAAAAACTGTGAGCTAGCTCACACTAACTCAGCTTAGAGGGAACATTGGTTACCAGTGTAAACCTTGACTGACAGCCTGCTGGGGTAGTGGTTAGCAATGCTCCCTCTAAGCTGTGGAGTCTTGAGAGCAAAAATTCTACTTTGTGAGCTACTGGCATCAAGGTTGTGAGCAGGCGATTTGGCTACTGCATAAATTAGCTTGCTCTGGAGCCATCCCTTCCTGAGCAAATATAAAAATGTGTGTGCTGGAGGCTAAAAAATTGTGAGCTAGCTCACACTAACTCAGCTTAGAGGGAACACTGGTGTTTAGCATGCCAGACTAGGATCTAACAGCCCCATGTTCAAATCCCCACTGTGCCACAAAGCTTGCAAACTGATCTTGGAGTGACGATCACTCTCTCTCAGTCTCACTCACCTGACTGGGTTGTTGTGAAGGTAAAATGCAGGAGGGGGGACCAACGTATGAGCTCTTTGGTTGGATTGGGAGGATAAAAATATGCTAAACAATGAGTCAGACCCTGGTCCACAAACGCTTATGGCACAGCACATTTATTGGTTAGTCTTTCAGGATCCACATACCTAAGGTGATGTGTGTGGACCATAAATACATCTGCTGATGAGTTCCTTCTCTATATATTACTTACTAACCACTGTGTCATTTTGCATGGGATAAGTTAGTCCAGGGTGGCTATGCAAAACCAGGCCAGGGCAAACTCCCTCTGTTTATCTCTTGCCTTGAAAACACTACGGGGTGACAGTAGTCGGCAGCCCCTTGACGGAACTTTCCAGAATTAAGTTAGTTGTTGACACTGTTGTGCCTTGATGAATCCATTTTCATTGGGACATCCTCTGATCACTTACTCTAGGCTCCCCCCCCCCCAGGAGTGTCAACTAAAAACAATAGGGGGTTGTCTTAAATTCGCATATTAGACTTATGTATAGTAATCAAAGTCTTTTCGATTATAACCTTTCTTTCAGGGGGCGATTGTCTTCATTGAGGGTTGTCTTCCTTTTGGATAAACACGGGAATTCCTCTGGATCACCTGTTCTCTGTGGAATGACTATAAAAGTCACTGCACACCAAAAGTGGCGGAAAACCCCAATTATCTGAATTGACCCTTAGCCATCAACGGAAAAGGTAAAAATAAGTACTTTGATTGCTTGCTCCCACATTGATGCCATATTTTTTCCCCTTTCTTCCATGACCTTGCTTGTTTTGTAAATCATTCACTGTGGTTTGGCTAACGAGCACCGAGTCGATGAGGTTCTGCTGCAGTCTTTTGTGCGCAGAAGAGTGAGACAACAATATGTGGCAAACGCGACGGGAATAATGGAAAAAGATTAAATACCTTCGTTTTCTATAGTGTCAACTACATTGTTGACAAGCTGTATGACAGTCACTATGGAAGCTTGCGGGAGAAGGGAAGCAGAAAGAAAGGGAAGCATAGCTTCATGTTAGTATTTATAGCACACAACGGTCGTGAGGTTACCAATACTATATTCCCACAGACAGATTTGCTGGGTGGAGGGAACGGGAGGGCGGGAGGCAGCCCCGATGAATTATGCAGCTTGAAGGACATTTCAATTTCAGATAATCCCATACAATTTTTCCCCCCTCCCACGACAGAAAAGCAAATGGTGATACATTCAAAGCCAGCACTTTCACAAAGCTCATATACTGTGATGAATATCGGCTCATAAATTCGGGCTGGATTGTCCGGCAGATTCAATTAACCAGGACAGTATCTTGTCTACCTGACACTAATCCCTAATTAATCCTTGCTTAAAGGCCTCCAAAGGCAGACAGCTATACTCAGAGGGATCATTATCTTTTCAGCAATCGTAAGGATCCGAGATAGTGTGAAAGTCTTTTGCCTTCAGCCTTTTCTTTTCTTTTTTTCCTTTTTTGCAGACAGAAGCTTTTTACTTATTATTTACTGCCCGCAGGACAAAGCCCTTGGGGGAAATGACCAAGTTCAGCAGTCATAATTAAAAAGCCACTAACAAACGGCTTGGGTTTAAAGATTGGGTTTCATTTCTTCTTTTTTTCAAAAAAAAAAATGCTATAGAACAACACAGACGGTTATGCTTTTTAGGGCTTGCACCTCTGCACTGTTCGTGGCCACGCAGAAGAGGAGGGGTCCCCTCTTTCGTGGTTTTTCCACCACTCCTGGTGAGACTATTTTGAGGCAAAACAATTTTAAAAACACAGAGATCATCCTGTTCTGGACTACCCCACGTCCCGAAGAGAGTGCCTAACAAAGAGTGTCTGAGAGACAACTGCTCCGAGAA